ATTTAGGACTGAAAGCAGTTCAGACAAAGGGCTCAGAGTTAAAAGGCTGAAATCATAAGTAGTAACTGTCTTGTGAGCAGAAACATGTTCGAAACTGAAGTATAAATAGAACGACTTAAAAAATGTTTGCATTTCGTAACGCTGTCCTCTCAACTATATTTCTGCTACTAATAGTCTGGGCCCAAATAGCACAGTGCTGAAATTCATCCATTTTTTTAAAAATTTATTTACTTTCATGGCGCTTTTTTTAATTTTCAATCAATTAAATTCTTTCGAATTTACGTTTACCGCATGTCGCCTTTTAGTCACGCCACTTGCAGGTGGGTCAAGGCGAACTGCGGCCTTAAGACGCAGACATCAAGCAATACGACCATGTCATGCATGGTTTGACATGACCAGAATAAGAAACCATGCTGCCGTGTTGGCTGAAGGGAAAGAACCTGCTACGGGGTTTTAGCTGGTTACGCCGAAGTACAAGGGGAGGGAAAAATTCTTGCTCAAGGGAAAAAGCAGTTAATAAGAAAACAGTAACACTGCCCTTCGGGTTTAAACCCTGCACCTCTAAAATGCAAAGCAAACTCTGAACCCATTGCGCCACTGTCTTCCCCTCCTAAGCTAGCTATTATACTGTTCAAGCTTTTCCTAGAGAACCACAATATCGCAGCATACATCTGATTATGGAAAGGATTGATTTGTTCAGCGTATTTATTTGATTCTTTGTCCCAAGTTATCAATATATCAACCAACCGAGGTTAACTGAAAATTCAAGTTTTTAATATCTTTAAGATCATCCTTGACTACGGGTAAAACTTCTAACAGATAATGCAGTATTGCCTGAATACTGTTCGGAATCCGATTGTTACTTTTAATCTGAGTTATTGTAATTATCGATTTTTACAGCTAAAATATTAGCTGATACAGAAATTATATTAAACCATAATCATACTTCGCATTGCGATGCAATCTCATGCGTTTTTCATAACCGTACTTTCAAGACTTAGAGTATGAGGTGTTGCTTATGAAGTCTGCTCTTGAGTAAAGCGTAGAAAGAATACTTACTTTGTCTGACCCAGAGATAAAGATATTCATTTCGCTAGGCCGGAAGTACTTCGGATCTATTCTGACTCGTACTTCTTTTGTTGTTCGGTCTCTGCCAATTTCGTCAACGCCTTTGCCTTCCCACCTAAAAGCGTAACAGCTGCTACAAGAGGGAATAATGCGCAGTTACCGCAGTTGACACAAACGAGATGGCTCATTTACAGAAGAACTACTCTAAACCACTATGATTAATCAGACTGTTCGACAAATGTCATTAACTGTGTAACACAATCTTTTCATTTATTTTTATTTACATAATACATTATGTAGACTTAGTCAATACCAACGGAAGGAAGGAAAGTCTGTAACCGTTGGAATGTAGGTTTTACATTTTCATATGGGGCCAAATCTGGCGTCCTACGTTTTTGAAGGTAGAGGTGGGATATTGATCTAAACTATATATCATCAGCCAGGAGCGGCGTCTATTTCTGAAGGGAGAGTAGACAGCAGATTTT